ATATATATATATATATATATAATATAAGTATAATTCTGTTCTACTTATATCGATTATTCATGCGTCCATTAATCATCAGGCACCATATATATATACATTTAATATCTCATTTAATAATTTATAACCATGAGCGTCTTAATTATATTGTTTTAAACGCAAAATTTAACTCATATATTATTACTATATATATGTTTCAAAGTTCATTGCCAGTACTGAAATCTATAGCTTAAATTACGTATATGTACTAGAAATTTTCACCGACAGTGAATTTTGGAACATACAGTCAATACTTTTATAGCTTCTTTTTTTTTATTTAATTATAACTTTTTAAATTTTTATGTTATATAGAATTTTCAGATTCGTTAGAGGTTCCAGTTTGAGTGATTTAATTTAAAAAATTCAACTGTTTGAATTAAAAATATAAAGCTTCTAAGCCATTTCTGCATCAATTTACACGTGTTTACGCTGTTTTCAAAATTTATTTACTATTGTGCAAATTTTGTGATCGTCGGACAAGCGCGGCGATGAACCCGCTGAGCCAATGAACGGGCCTGCTGCTGCCCACCGTTCGGGAACGGCGATTGGCGAGCGGGCGAGCCAATGGTGCCAATCGGAATCGCTCGTGGTCGGCTCAGCTAGCCTAGCAGAAAGATTTCAATATCGACGCGTACTCGACGCTCTCGCCGCTCGCGGCGCTCGCGGTCGTCGCGTAGTGTCGCATAGTGCGTGAAAGCAGGCAGCGTTTACTCACGAGAGAAATCGCCCCTCACGGCTAAAGAGGCACAGCTTCTCGGCGACGTTCACTGGACCTGAAAACGATGTCCGACGCGATAGTGGATGAACGGTAACTATCGTCAACAATCGCCGATAATTAACGTAAGCCGATCTGACATCGGCTCCTCCCCCCCCCCTGTTCCCCTTCCGGAATTCGCGATGTTACTTCGATCGAATAAAGTCGCTTCGGTCCTCCTCGAAAAAAATATTCTCGGGGCCTCCGATCTCGTGCATTATCGATTTTTTTTTATCTGCTTTTAATACGCACCTCCCGATTTTGTTCACATATTTTGCTTTGCTAATTTGCGATATATTTGCGTAGAAGACTCAACGTTAATACAATTATTCTATTTTTATTATTATTATTTTTTGTCATAATTATTTTCGTAACGTTTATTTCTCACTTGAACGATATTACGTGTGTTTGTAAGTATTGTGTATAAGAAAAAGAAAGGTGTGGAAATATCTGTCAATTTTTTATTGGGCTAAATAAAGATGTACGTTATTGAAAATGTATGCCTTTTTCTACAAATCTAAAGTTCGGCATAGTACTTTATCTTCTATGTATCTTCTATGAATACATTTGTTTAATCAATAGATTTGATTATTATAGATTAAGGTTACATGCCAATGCAATTGTTCTAATGTTTAATGATGATTTTTGCAGAGTGACTGATGAGATTGAGGCATTAAAAGCAATCCTATTGGATAATGAGCTCGACATCAAGGAAAATGATAGGTATACATGTACATAGAATATTTCAGAATTTGTGCACATGAAATGCATAATAATATGATTCTGTGTAAAAAAATAAATGAGAGGAAAAAATATTGTTTGAATGATGTTTGGATACAATTTTGTTATGGAATAGTTACTTCTGGCACAAAAAAATTGTATTATGTATTTTATGTATACAAATTTTGAGTTTATATGTATTGGAGAATATATTTTTATATTCGGTAATTTTGTTAAAATAATATATTATTTGTATGTAAGAATTAATAACTACTGGTAATGATTTATGTATATTTTTTTATTGCTTGCATATATTTTAATAAATATTAATATCTTAATCTTAAAATAACATTTAATCTTAAATTAACATTTTATAATTAATATTTAACCTATTTAATGTAATTAATACATTTAAAATAATTTCAATAAAAATACAATTAATGCATTTAATATAAATTAATGCATTATATGCAGCTAAATTAAATTAAGTTTGAATGTTGAAGATTTTTCTGCCTGCTTATAAAAAATGAAAATTTGAGAAAGTGTCTTATTAATTATGTAATATCTATTTACTTAATAGCTAATAGTTAAAGATTTAATAATACTAAAAATACAAAATAAAAACTTGGATAATTAATATTTTTAACATAAATAATATTCTTGGAAATATAATGCTAGATTTAATGGTATTTTACAATAAACAGACAAATTAATCTACATTTTTTTATATTATCTAAACTAATCTCTTGAGGATACCATATGTATTTATATTTTTCTTGCGAAGCCAAGAATTTTTATTGATTTACGTTTCTTCATACATATATTGAAAGTCTAATCAAATTTTGGTGGCTAAAAATAGACATAGAAGCTAAAATTAATTTGGTAGATATCTCTTGTCTCGTACATACTTGCTGTTAATTCTATCATGGCAAAGCCAGTGTATAATGTATTAATTATAATTTTGTTGCATTAAGTATCTAGTTTATTGCAAATAATCCATACATGTATATACATGTATGTACATACTATATGCTGCTATATATACAGAAATATATACTGTTGACTAGATAATTATAAAATTTTATCCAACTCTTTTCTGATGTGTTCTCCATTAATTATGTCTATCTAGAGGAGAGCCAGAGTGTATCGAAACGATACTGTTTCCATCAACTGGCGAGGACTCACAATCACAATATGTTTGTGTCACACTGATTGTACGATTACCCTCGGGTTATCCCGACGTCTCGCCAAATATCAATTTGAGAAACCCAAGAGGATTGGATGAGGATACGGTAAAGCTGATGCAATCCGATGCTGAGGCCAAATGCAAGGATTTCATAGGTCAACCAGTGATGTTTGAATTAATCGAGGTAAAGAATTATTCTGTCAGTTTCTTTTTTTTTTTAATTTTCCTTTATAATTATTTTGTAGGAAATTGATAATGAATCTATCTGTTGTTAGCTTTCGTCTTTAACATTGTGCGTTGATATCACATCTGAACAATGTTTTAGCTCTAATTTGGAATAAAATACGATAAACATGTACATAAACTACATGAAATTCCGGCTTTGTAAAATTTTTGTAAAAAATTGCAACTTTTAGACAGATTCTAATAATTATTTTAGAGAATATAAGATATCATAATAATATATCATAAGAATAATAGCAGCAATTGTAATTAAGAAATAAAAATAATTGTAATGATATACATCAAACTATAATAGTAATTTTAATTCATAAAATAATATACATAATAATTGTAATAATCCAGTTAATACGAGAACACCTGACAAGAAGCAATCTTCCCACCGATCAGTGCGCCGTGTGCTTGTACGGCTTCCGAGAAGGAGATGAATTTACGAAGACGGAATGCTATCACTATTTTCATTCGCACTGTTTGGCGGCACACGTCGCCGCTGCTGAAAGATATTACAGAGAAGAGCAGGAGAAATTACCGCAATGGCAGCAGGATACTACAAACAAATTCCAAGTGCGTTTGTGTTACAAACTTAATGTTGTTGAAAAGCTTACAGATTTCTTTTCATCCGTTATGGTAGCATTTGTTAATGTTCATCTTTCTATGTATTTATATTTATTTATTAATGTATATGTACATTTCTTTAGGCTATATGCCCCGTTTGCCGAGAATCAATCAACTGCGACGTCGAAAGCTTGTGGTCGGCGCCACCGCCGATCGACGTCGAGGCTGCCACTGATTTCTCTGTCACCGCCGAGTTGAGAGAACTGCAGAAGCACATGGCTGCTCTGTATCTGCGGCAGCAACAGCGTGGCGGTATAATTGATCTGGAGGCCGAAGGCGTCAAGATGTTGGTAAGAACGGAGGACGATCCCGCCGCTGCTGCGGAAGAAGTCAGTCCACCTGGTACGAGTTTGAATGCGTATTCAAATACCAGCACCATGCAATCAGTCACTCAAGTGGTAAGTAATCAGTCGCCTCGATGATTGCGATACTGTGCATTGTACGAAATATTGTTTTAGCAGAATGTACAAAACCTGTAATGAACTTTTTTCATCAATATCACTTTTTTGGGGGGATAAGTAATCAATATTTTTGGAAATTTATAACATGAAAATCTGTCAAAGAAAATTTGTTTCTAAAATATTCTCTGTTAAAGTGTTGAAAAATAAGAGAAAACAATTAAGTGTTGTAATAATGATTTTGAAATGGTCTTTTATTTTTTAAACATTTTTCTAATTATTAATATTTTTGTTCTGATGCTAAATCTTATTTTTTTCCAGAATTCTGACATGTAGTATCAAAATTAAATTTAATGCTTAATTCAAATTGTAAATTAACTAAATTAAACGTAAATTAACGAAAATTGAACAAACATAACATTGTACACTTTTCTACATTTGTAATATTGTACACAATTCCACATTTATTAAAGCGATACAGGATATTTTTATTATTGAAGCTTTAGAAAGCAAATTAATTTTAAATATAATTAACAAAGTTATAGGAGTCATTGTCAACAATAATTTAGTCTAGTAATATAGCTTTATTTTTTGTCATTTCCAATGGTAATATTTTAAATCTTCAACCAATAATATAAAATGAACATTATCGATTTTTGCAGCAGCACTCGAAGCAATCGACGCATCAGTCGCAGAACCACCATCACTCACAGTATCAATCGCGTCAGATGCAGCACAATCACGGCCACAACAATCATAATCACGGCCATCGACACCGGGGTCGCGGTCGAGCCCATTATCATCGGCGCCACTTTGACAAAGTCAGGCAGACGGAATCTACTCCCAGATGACAATGGGCTCGTGATAAGTACGCCATCCAAGTCTGGTCTGGTCTCCTTTTCTCTCTTTCGCTAAGTGTATACAATGTTCTATTTAGCATTAGTAGCATAATCGTCAGTGTAATATATGATGGCTGTTTGTCCTCCTCGAATAGTCTCATTGCGATAACAAACTTATAGGTGTCGTTGTTCGACGACAGCATTCCCATCGTCGCTACGTCGGCGATGGAATGCGTCGCAACTTTCTGTCTGGACTGTCTACGTAGATCGAAGCCATGTTGCTCTTTCTTCGAACAATTCGTAATCGTACAAAGTAGTTGATATTGGTTCGCCTTAGTTCCTTATTCTAATTTTTCTTTACGTTTTAATTCACGTGGAATCTCGTGACATTCAATCTACTGGTTCCCTTCGTCTTTCGAAAAATACAGTGTTCCAAATTACAAAAAAAAATCGTAAAAATAATAGTCTTTTTCTCGATATTAAAGAACATCATGTATAAGATAAAGAAAAAGATATACATTTCATTTACACATAGTGGATTATATATATATATCTATAAATATCATGAGAGTAAAAGATTTAAGCCTTATATTTAAATTAGTTAAAACGTATATTTATTATATATTTAAAAGTTAGAAATATTAAAATTTTAAATAATAAAAATTAGCTTATTTTTTATTGAAGAATAAATATCTGTAGCAATTTTTAAGCGTAATAAAAAATGATTATTTTCTCTGTTGCTATTAAAGATAAAGACAACAGCCTATTTAGTTTTGTCTTAGATATCTATCTAAATTGTCTAAGAATATATATTGCTAGAGGATATTATATAATAATAGAAAATTATAATACAAGAATTGAAATAAAAGAGACACGAATAAATGATATATATATAAAAAATAAATTTACGTTTCATGTATAAAACTATTGTTTTGTTATAAATTGCTTCAGATCTAGAATTACTAGACAAAAAGAAGAGAATGTTATTGAAATTTAATATGCAGCAGTGCAAATTTTCATATAAATAAATATTACACAAGTAAAGATTTTACACACATACATACATATATGTTAACATATATATTTAAAAGAGTTAGAACTTTGGAAGACGAAGAGAATCGATGATTCACAATTCAATAAATTATATTACCTTCATATCCACTGCCGCGAGTATGAAAGAGTCAGATTCATCTTCGATCGTCATTTTTTTATTGTGTCGTCTCTGCTGATTACGCGTGTAAATGTGGACGCTTCTCACCGTGCATTAAACGTTACATATGATTACAGATGATATTTCAATTTTCTATTGCGCTAACAAGAAATGCGTATTCTTCGTATTAGGAAAACGAAGTTTGAAATAATCACATGCAATGCTAAATGAGAATGTTTACGAGAGGTAGCTACTTTTATACATAGGAAGTTTCAGATCTAGCAGTGAATATTTTAGAAACAAATTTTCTTTGACATATTTATATTTTTATGTTATAAATTTCCAGAAATATTTGATTACTTATCAAAATGAAGAAAAGTTCAAAGTGATATTAAAATATTGATATTGAAGTTAAAGTCGTTTCCGCGCACATAAAATGAGTTTTGCGAACGCAAATTTACTATTGATGATTTTATTTTTCACGTTTTCTTTCTTGATCTTTTTGTTAAAAAGAAAATATCTGTGAGAATTTGTCAAATAATTTGAAACTAAAATATTTCTTGCTCGACACAAACTACGACCTGTATAAACGTTTATATTGGATTTCACAATTTTTTAAGGATACAAAGTCAGAACATTGAAGAAACGTAACAATGAATAGTTCTTCAATACTTGGTTTCTCGTGCAACGGAGAGAGTTATAAGAAAATTAAGCAATCAAAAAGCCTCCCATGGAAACAAAGATATTTTATACGTTGGTATAAAATTGAAATAATCAAAATTAACGGACGTTTATTTAGTGTACGATATTGCCAAGTATATTGTAATTAGTATAATTTCGGTAAGTTTTGATTGAATCAAACTTAACGAAACTACGCTAATTTCAACTCTTATTCAATACTATTTGGAATATTTAATTACAATTGTCGAAATGTACGTGTATATAGGGTGTCCCAAACGTCGCTTTACTAAAATTATATTAATAAGAAAGATTTCTTATATAAATAGGATGATTCCTGAAAGAGATTATTTCCTTAAGGGAGAATAATTTGATGATCAAATGAGAAAAAAGTTATATAATGCCGAAAATATACTGACAATGAGATAAAGGCTATTAAAAATTATCAAAGCTATATATTTGTGTTTAACAATTCTAATAATATTTGTCTGTCTATATACGTATTTTTGATATATTTTTTTTCTTTTGTTTGATCATTTTCCTTAAGAAGTTTAATTTTTTCAAACATACCATGTATGTATTATTCCAAAATTGTAAATTGCTTTTATTTTAACTATTAATTATTTTAACTAGACTGAATTTTTATGCTGAGATTTACTTTCTTTATAAGAAAGATGTTAAGTTTAATCGAGCTATAGATCATCATTGTTGAAAAATTATTAATATCTAAGTCTATTTTTCTGTATATACAAACTTTAAAAAAAAAGATAACTAATAAATTTGAAAAATTTTTAATCGCACGTGGCATCTTGGAAGGCCACTTCGAAGAATATTTGCGTCAGAGCGACCTTTAGAACACGCTGTATATATGAATTGTGCCATTTAACAATCGTTCGCACACGAAGAAAGTATATGGCATATGTGACAATTTCCTGCAGACGTTTTGCAAATTGATACATTTTAAAGTAACGCGAATTTTTAGATGCGTCTTTTTACGTCGCTCGCAATTCGAATTTACAATCGAAATGCTCGCGATCGATAAGCATAGACAATTGTGATAAAAAAAGAGATGAGAAATGCACTCATCGCATTTCAAATTTGAGAGCAGAACGAGTTTCGTATTAAATACAGTTAAGAAACTAAGTCTGTTATTTTAAGTTATATTCCTCTTTCGCAAAGTTCCTCGCATTCTCACTGTACTATATATATAGTTCGATTACATTTTTTGTTGCGTAAAACACGATTTTAAGTTTAGGGAGACGAAGGCATCGTCTATTGTAGATACTCCCTCACTCTATATATGTGTGTATATACATATATACATATATATACATATATATATATATATATATATATATTAAATATTATATCGAAGAAAAAGAAATTGTTAGTAACCTTGTGTATAAACTTCCACATGAATGTGATACTTACAAAAGGGTAATAGGCTAAAGTAAGGAAATTTTAGACGCATAGAAATTCGACTGATTTGATATTTTCGGGATTTGTTCACAAATTTTATCATTTTTACTTAAATTTACCGTTTCAATCTGCTTATAACTTTTGAACTTAATCCGCCAGCTGTTTTATTTTTTTTTCAATTAAATTTTCCATGGAATTTTCGGTAAAAAAGAAGTCATTGCGAGATTAAAAATAATCTGAGGCTGAGGTTTAGCACATTTCAATATAAAGAACAAGAGACGTATTGAATGTGTGTAACGATATTTGTATAATTAATGTGATTAAAATAAAAAAAAATTAAATTAAAGTGTAAACTCTGAGATAAAATATAATACATGAACTGTTTTAGTTATTGTACGTTGCCATTGTGAAGACACTCGAAAATTAAGATAAATTATATTATTTTAAGAACTGTACTCTTTCGTCAGTTGAAATATGTATTTCGACGTATTTTATATATGTTAAGTACTACACAGATACGTGGCACATTATTAATCATAAGGCGGCTTTTCTTAAATATTAAAGATACGTTCACTGAATTTTAACATTGAAAAATTTGTATTGTTTCTGTATTTTAAAACGTACTTAAATTTATATTCATTTAAAGCACAAGTATTTTTTATTTTAAAACTAATATCTTGATGCTGCGGAAATAAGTGAACATTCGAATTGATTTAGTTTTAAAGATTCTTGTACATTTTAAAGATAGAAATTGTCTTTATATGGTGAATATAATTAAGTTATTCTTACTATCTATCTCTATTTGTAAGTATACCAAAGAATGTCGGATTATTAAAAGAGAAAGAAAAAAAACGAAAACCACACAGGGATTGACTTTATATAGGGAGTACCTATTTACTCCTTGCTTACGCGTTTTACGTATGTCTGTGATATTTTAGAGAGCGGTGATTTTTATTTAGTTTTTTATTACATCACTTTTTTACATAGATGTAAATGTCACTGTTTGCGAGCAATCCTTGACGTACCTCAAGAGTTTGCCGAATTATATGGAGTATAATGCGATGCGTTTATTGCATAATTTCTCTGATTAAAAAACAGATGTATGATATAAAATTAAATTCTTAGTTGAAAATCTTTTGTTCATTTTTGTTACATAACTATCATATTATCCAGCATGAAATTATCCAGTATGAAGAGCTAAGCTAAGCTATTATATATAGGCTCTATCTCCTCTGTAAATTTATTACATCAATGTTTTCCTAAATTTAAATCTCTAGAGATATGTACCACTTAGCTTTTTTTAGCGTTTTCTTTTTGTATTTTGATATAATTATTTTGATTTTTTTTTCTTCTACATTTTGGGTCGCCACAAAGATGAAGCTTCTTCGCAATTTTATTAAAAGAAGCATTTTTTTAAACTTTATATTATCATTTTTGTTAGAAAAGTTGACAGAAAATTTATACTTAAGGAAGGTGTGATATCATTAACATGTAGAGTTTCATTAGTCCAAGCGTTCCATTAACATCGAATTGAGCCGCCCTTCTTACGTGGCTTAGCATTATAAAAAGGACATTAGAAAACTTTCCAAATGAGATGATATCATTGAGAAATAACATGTGCACAAATCTTCTAACATGAATACATATATTTAAATTTCTGTCGACATATTTTTAGTGCGTTTATTCGCACCAAATTATGAGAACAATACAATACAAAGTCGAGATAATTACTTCACGATAATATCCCAACGCTGTTATAATACATCCATATTATATATGTAGCTATATATCTATTGTTAAATGGAATCGATGTAATTCACATTTTTACGATTTGTTTTCTTAGTGAACTTAAATCGAGTGGATTTTTAAGCTTACGAGTGTTTGGCAGATCAGCAACTTTATCGCGCTCCTTCAAATGCTATGTCGCAAAATGCAAAGGAATATTTATGATGTTCTCTCCATTTATTCCAGTAGCTATAAGTACATAGGTAAGACGACATATTATCGCTCACGCTTCTAACATTATTTATTCTACACATTTTATTTTTAATAAAAAAATATTGATACAGGTCGCGTATATCTTTGGAGAAATTTCTTTTCGAAATTAGCGTATCTCTTTAAAATTTCTCTTTAATAACAATAACATAAATACTCCATGTCACATTTTGTAATACTGACATTTGTATTACATGACATTTGTATTACAGCCATATTTGATATATTAGAATAATAAGCATTATATTATATAATTATTATGCGCGCGACACGCAGTTTTATAATTGTGATAAGTATTACTGTTTATACTTATAATTATTTGCAAAATGATGTGGATAGATTTTTTCCATCACCCTTAGTCACATTTTTAAACCAATTTCAATATTATAAACCGAATGTCGAATACAAAAATGGGAATAAATATATAATACATGATAAATAACAGTTATATAATATGTCCAAAAATAACAAATAAATATTAATGTCATTTTACAACCCCCTTTTACATACTTCAACGAATAATACCATCGGTACTATTATTTAAACGTCTACTTTAGCACATAATAATACTTACATTTAGTTTATTTTGCCACATAATATTTATAATTATCCTACAATTAAATTCAGTTAAATACGATATGTGTGAATATATCGTTCAAAATGAATGTAATTACTTACTAAGGCTATATTCTATTCGCATGTATTCACGAATAAGAAATAAGCCTCGAACTATGTAGAATCTCTTGGAGGGGGAGTCGTATCGTTGACACTGGAATGATCGTTTTGCTGATTCAGTATGTTGCATTGATTTCGAAGCATCTCCATCTTCGCACGAAGTGCGTTTAGCTCCTCTTGCATCGACGAACCGAAATCTCTGCTTCGCGTAAGAACGTCGACGGCGTTGTTCAATAATACTGAATTTACAGGAGACGGCGACGGTAGTGGTACGTCCAGCGAGATCGAAGAAGTGTTAATACTATTGCTGTCACCGTATCCTTCGTCAATACTCTCATCGGCTACTCCAGTTACCGATTTTAATTGGTCCTGTAAATCCTGTAAATGTGCAAAAAACACTTTGAAAATATTTTATTAACAATCTTTTTTTTTCTTAATTGAACAAGCATGGAATCGTTTACTGTATCATTTTATTTAGTATCAGAAATTACCTTGTTTTTCAACAAGACTTGCTTCAGGTATTCTTGCAAAGAACGTTCCGTTTTGCTTTTCTGAAAAATAGAAAAGATCCTAGTATACAGTTTCGTATCACGAGGTGAAATTTTGATACTTATAATTATATGTTACATATATCATCATTGCGTAAGTCGTTAAAACAAGAGCTAAAGGAGGTATTTATCTACCATATTGTCGAGCTGATCGTTCGTCAGCTTGTAATAGATTTTCCGCTCCAAATTCCTCATCTTTGCCTTCTCTTCTCTGAGTTTTTTAAGCAGCGCACTGTTCGCCTTGTATGACAAAGTCTTCAAGCGCTTATTCTCGTTCGTGAGATCCTGCATGATACTCAATTTCTTCTCGGATTCCGCGTTCTTCGACTTCAACAGCTTGTACTGCGCTATCATTCTGGTCAGCTGCAGCCTCAGATGAGAGATCGCGTCCTCCACTTGACTCTGCTCTCGTTTGGACGTCGACAACGAAATCTCCAGCGCCTCGTTCTCGGACCTCAGCTTCTGCATCTCGAATTGCGTCTTCCGCAGCAGGTCGGCGGTCTCGTTCCTCTCCGTCTCGGACTTTTGCATGCCCTCCTCCATGGATGAGATCAGGACGCGCTGCTTGCTCAGCGTGTTCTCCATCGACATTCTCGCCATCTCGTTGCCCAGCAGGCGTTGCTCGAGCGTCTTCAGTTCAGCCTTGGTGTTTCGCAACTCGTCCTCGGTCGCCTCCAACACCATGGACATGTCGGACGGACTGCCCGTCGAGTTTCCGTCCAATGCGTCTTGCACCGTGTTGATAGACCGGATGTGCGACTGCAAGTCCTTCACCGCGCTCTGCATTTCCTGCTTCTCCCTCTGATACCGCTGCGCGAGTTCGGTGTACTCGACGCTCAGTTTCTTGTAACTGGCGTTCACATCCGCTATCGCGTGCTGCCGTTGCTTCAGTATGCTCTGGTACGTGTCTATCTCCACCTGCAGACTCTTCTTGCTGGCCATCAAGATGTGCACCTGCGACTGATACCACTTCGCGGATGCCTCCGCGGCGGACAGACGATTATTGGTGTCGGTCAGTGTATTCTGCAGCTTCTGCTTGTCCTGCAGCACCGTTTGCATCTCCACGAACAACTCGGTTATCTTGCCTTTGAGACCCTGATTTGCGGCGATCCGGGCGTTTAAATCGATTCGCGCATTCTCCAAGTCGACGCGCAGTCGCTCGTTCTCCAATTCCAACAGAGCCACTCGCTTGGACAACTCGATGTTGGAGACATCGGGCGTGGACAAGTGGCGCAGATGGAATTCGTCGGTGATCAACTGGAGTGAGTCCGTCGAGGTCACGGAATCCAGCTCCCCTCGAAATGAATCCGACAGATTGTCCATCGTGTCGATTTGAACGGTATTCAATCAAAAGTAAATTATCACTGTACTCATGTTGAGTAGTCCATCTACAGGTGATCACCTAAATGGACACAGCAATTGGTATTAATAATCAGTAACTAATAATAGTATAATGTATGCACACTGAGAATGACAAGGCGTTAATTATCATAGCAATAATGTCTCATTAATTGACACATAAATATGCTTCTACAGCTTCTGCTGTATATATTTGCATTATATTTCGAATATCCCTTTTCTTGAAAACTATAAAAATTCGAGGAAGAAATAATAAATAATGTGAGAAAAATCGATAAGTAATTTCGAATCTGCAGTTTTGCAAAAGCAGAAATGTCATTTTTGCACTCTCACAAAACGTCGAAAATTCGTCAAAATTTTCTTTTCTCAACAAATTCTAACGTAGTGATATGTGTAACAGATATTGAAGATATGTATGGTAAAATTATCAATGAAAGTTGAATTAACCTTAATTCCCTTGAGATTCATTCGTTCAGGGATTCTCAGTTTCTCTATCAAATATAAATAATATAGCAATTTTTAATTTTCAAGTAATTTTGCACTAAGTTTCAAACGATGCAGTTTTCTTGCTCGGATTATAAATTAATAACAGCCGTGATGCTAATGTCATTATGTCCACAATTGACAGGTGTTATTGGCATCTTAAAATCTCATCGTAGGTAAATAGAAGACACAAAACGCGACATACCTCATTTTGCCATCCTTAATTAGTCGCGAGCATCTTTTCGCAAATTGCGTTATCATTCGGCGATGTCAACAATCCAAATTGTTCAAACCACCAACAATAATTAATCTAATAATTAACACTATCGTAGCGCATCGCCATTTTGATTCTGTTTACACTGAACACTCCGTGCCCTCCGTGACGCGACACTCCGTGCGCGGAGCACACTCCGATCGAACTGCACTCTGTATCACTTTCATGTACTGCACTTTCTCCTCTTTTTTTTTCAAAAGAAAAAAGGATAGATTGAAGTAATTGAATGTATCAAAAGATTAATTTGATAAAAAATAACTCGATTATAGGCGCGTTTGACGAAATATTCGGCCAAATATTCTTCAAAATGTTTGGACTTTGTTCCAAATCTTGGGATATTTCCCCGAACTTTTCTTCAAATGGATAGAAATGGATAGAAATAAATTCATTTCGATATTTCTGAATTGGCGCTTTTAATTTTTCGAATCTATAATTTGAATTTAAGAATAATATAATATATGGATATAAATGCACTTCCGGATTCTGAAACGTCAATTCAAATAAATATAAATTAAAATACATTGAATTTTTAATTTATTTGAATTAATTTTCATTTGCTGGGTATGCGCATCTGTAAATAAAAGATATTAAAATAGAATACGCAGACATTATAATAATATGAATAAGTCTATAAAATTTAATGATTTTGAATCTGCAATTTTGCAAAAGCAGAAATGTCATTTTTGCATTTTCATAAAACGTTAAAAATTCGATCCTTTCCCGTTGCCTTCAAATCGTTCTAGCAGTCGATACGTTGTAACGATAACGCAAGATAAGATACAGAATATACTCAACCGGCCGTTAACCTTTTTCCTGCTTAATTCTTATTCACTTGCCATTTTTTTAACAAACGTGCAAAAGATAATATGACTGTGTTTTATATTCCGGAAATATTTTTTAATGTAAAAATATCATAATTTTTTTAACTTGCAGCAATATAAAGCGTCGGACAATTAAGAAAAAAAATGTTTTTTATTTGTTCATTTTTGTTTCCATTTGATCTGAAATGTAAAATAACATTATAATATAACTACATTTTAAATGGTCTCTCACATTTTTGTAAATGTATCATTTATTATATCTATACTAAAATATTAAATTTATAAATTATATATAAGGTTCTATAAGTATCATATATTTTCCAAAATTTAAACAATTTTACAAATCGAAAATTATTATATATATGTATATCACCGCTAAACGCTAAACTATAATATATATTATATAGTTTTTTTGGAAATTGAAATTAATTTTTACACTTTTTATAATCAATGTTTTTCTTGAATGTTATCTGTCGTACTGTTAATGACAAAGACGATATCAAGACGATATCACAATGTTACATCGAAAGTCGATCGACGGTCAACTGCTGGCACGTTGACGTAATCTTTCTAATTATATAACATCCGATTTGTCACATATTGCAAGTAAAAGTTAAGTTATAGTATATATTACATCGCATTATCTCTATTTTGATTGTTATTGACTTGGTTATTAACTTGAACATGAAGACATGATTTTTATAATTAAGATGAACAATAGATTCGACAGATTATTATATCTATTTAACATATTTTCCAGCATATTTGTTACGTTACTTACTTTTCGTTTTACTTACTGCATGTTGATATGTACATGATTTTTATATTAATAAACATTAATTTAATATAAAATTACAAAATTAAATTAAATTATCTACAAATTTGTTATGATTTTAATCACGGTTATATAGTTTATATTAGTTCCAGCCAAAAGAACGAATAAAACAATCTATTATAATCAAAACTCGTATCATTTAAATAATTCTTAGAATTGCGATAGATTATATATCTTTATAAATTTCTATATACTAATTTTATTTTAATACGCAATTTTAATACTATAATAATAAATTTCTATACTAATTTATGTATTATTACTATTTATACATTTGTATAATATATACATATATTTTAATAATGCGATATATTGTGTATATTGCAATGTAAAATATTGTTACACCCGTGTAATGGCCAGATTTCTGCATTGACCGGTATCGATTGCGAAAGCGGACAAGAGAGGATTATCCTCTTACAATTAGTTGCGTTTGTTATCGGGGCGATCTTGAGCTTTTGACAGCTAGAAAAATAATGCCAGTATTATAATTAATAAAGCCCTTGTTAAATTGATATTCCCATGTATTCATTTCGCGAGTGCGGGAGTACGCAAAAGTTCTTCAAACGGAAGCGTCGCCGCGCAAGCTAGAGAGTACACGGACGCGAGATATCCGCGACGCGGGAGTAACAATTATATATTCGTATTACTTTAATGTTTTGAATACTACTGTTCCTAACTGTGGCCTTTTACAGATTACTTTGAAAGCTGGAACTAACAAGACTGCTTTGCTTTCATAATCGCAGGATGCAAGTTCTCTCTGGGTACAATTTTCAACCAGAAACCCCCTTCAATCCGCATTGAAAATCCACCTTTCTGTAATGTTCCAGATGTCGAAGTCTTCTCACACGGCTTTAACTCGCAACGAGTCAGAAGATGAAATAACAAAATCCTCGTCTCCAGTAACGCGAATCTATTACCGATGCACATTCTCGGACCTAATCCAAATGGATGATAAGCGTTAAAATTACACTGATCTCCTTCATCGAGGAATCTCTCAGGCTTGAATTTATCCGGTTCTGGAAAGTATTTAGGATCGTGTTGAAGCGCGTAAAATGGAAGATAGATTAACATTCCTTCCTTTATAAGATATGGCTTTGCATCTGGTAGTGTAGGAGGCAACTCGAAATCTTTCACACATACTCTATCCATTAATGGTTGCACCGGAAATTTTCTGAGAGTTTCATTGATAACAGCATTCAGATACTTCATTCCGTTAATCACCTCGTAAGATGGTTGGCCATTCGTATCTTCCCAAACTTTGTCGATCTCATTTTGCAGCTTCGTTTGGATATTTGGATTGACGGCAATTTCGTGTGCCGCAAAACTCATTAGTGCCGAACTAGGATCGAAACCAGCAACAAAAAAAATAAATGCCTGCGACGTCATGTTCATAATCGTCAGTTCTCTCCCGGGTTCTCTTTTACTTCTGCTATCCATTAACAATTGAATCATATCTGGACGAGTAATACCTTTCTCTTCTCTGATTTTGATAGTGTCAGCTACCAGTTTAACAAAAAATGCAGTAGTGCGATTGTCTATTAATTTAAGATTTAATAGACGCATTAGCGACGGCATAGTTTGATACAGTAAAATTTTCATATAAGCAATCATGTCAAAATTTGTTGCTTTTTTGCCGAAAATATAAAAATCATTCTCTGGATTCCTCATTGAATCCACATTAATACCAAAGGCACATGTTGCGATCACGTCGTTAGCGTATCTCGAAAATATGTCTCTCATTTCCATAACGCGTTTGTCTAATGGTACGTTCATTAAATACTCCGAAAAATTCACAGCGCAGTCGGATATTAATTGAAACATTGTCTTCATTTTACTAGCTGTAAAAGCGGGACTCAGAAGCACTCTCATGTCACGCCACTCGTCGCCGCGAAGAGCAAGTAGATTTTTTCCGAAAAGCGAATCTTGATTTTCGGTGCCGAACGAAAGGTGATCCTGAAATGAGTCGAAATTTTTGATAGCGATAGACTTGATCAATTCAGGATCACGAATCATTACGCCCGGTCTTGCAAAATCATAAGTACCGATGTACTTAGCATCGGAATGCACATTGTATATTTCTTTAATGACATCGGCCAAGCTTTTTGGACGCACAAAAGTTTTCCAAAGTTTTTCTAATGAGAAACATTTTTTTGCATGTGGAATTCCATGTTGTCGGAACACGTTCGAATCCTTACGGGAAGCGTAGTAATAAATGGCAAATATGCCGGCTAATATTGATAAAACTATCGTCCAGTAGTCCATGATTGATGTTCAATCGAAATACTCGATTATTCCTTTCGTTCGAGACAAAGTTGATCACCGGTGTGTCAGAAATTTGTCAATATCATTATTTGCACAGTTGTCTGAGGCACTCTAGTAGATTATAATCCAGTGCAATATGTTGAACGTGATTGTTACTAAGTCAAAGCGATCTGTTCACTTGGAATTCTCGCACGCGACTGCTCATACCGAGATAAAGACTGCGTTCGGTTTGGACGTTCATGCGCTGTAAGCGCTTACCTAACTATAAGCATTACTTTCGCCGTTTTGGTATTATATGCCCTCACTGTGAAGAGACGCGTTCATGACGTCATAAAGCCTTGAACACAGGAATAGAGAACAGGAAACAGAGAAAAAGAATTTCAACCTAGAAACCGTGTATTCCACAGTATTCGGTTTATCACCACTGTTTTTCGTTTTAAGGATATAAAATGCAATAAATGTAAAATAATCACGTTTAAGTAATATATGACTAGCGGAAGATGTAATTGTTGAATAATGATATGTGATTTTTTTTTAGATTTTACTCGGAGTCTTTGTTAATTTCTGAATTAATTTATTAATGTAAAAAATATCACAAGAATATACAATTATTGCACGCACGTACGGTTTGAGAGATACCAAAAATCTGAGAATCTAAAATAAACAACGGTACCATGGAAACATATAAACAATCAATAAATTCGCAGCTTACTTTCTACTTATACATAGTTAGGTATCGACATAGACAACGATTATCTTATCTTATCACCCTCTCCTAATCATTGACTAGTACTTGTTTCTTATAGGGACCTTTAATTTTGCAGACCTGCGTAATTATTTATATACGATGCAATTAAACTCACGAAGAAATTAACGCGTTTAATAGATGGATTTGAATATTTATGCAGCGTGATTTGAAAATGCTCGCTTACAATCGGCGATCTCGATGATCAACTTATACTATTCTCACGAGTCATGTTCCTTTAACATCTAATAAATTTATCAATTAATTTATTAGATGTATTAGTATCGTCTGAAGTATAATAGTACTTTACGTCAGAAAATATTTTATATATAATTTATTTCTGATTTTATAATTCGACGAATTTCTTTTGTTTGTCATTCTCTTGTTGAAATAATATCTACACGTATAAACTATTTCTGGAAAAAGGAATTATGAGTTACATCTTTTTTTCTAATTTTAAGTAAGAAAAATATTGTCATACTAAATTTTATAATGCTTAATAATTTTTATTTCTTTTACACATTAACATAATATGCAATTGCATTTTATTTAAGAGTCACTATACATACTATTTGTTTTATTAAAATGCGTGTGTAAATTATTATTTTAAATATATCTCATTGTGATTTCATTGTGTATAACATCATACCACAAATAACAATAAAAACATTATTAGTTGAATTGTAAAAATTAAGAGTATATGAGGTAAGTATAATACTCGTATAAACATTATTATGCGCCTTTAAACACATGCACGGACTCTGCATGATATCAATCAAAATACTTTTGGTTATTATTATTCAGAACGTTCGTGAGCTTACCGTGTCAATTAATTTTCGTAGACAAATAGTGCAGGTTAAATCGATTAGAAAAGTTCTTTAATAATTGACGTGTTTCTCAATAATTAATAATTAATAAAAAGTGCAATAATTAGTAAAATTAGTAAAAATATAAGAAATGCAATTCTTAATAATTAAAAAAATGCTCGTTATCATCAATAAAATTACATATATGTATATCATGTTAATTATTATTTACACGATTAAATTGAACCTGTTTACACATCGACTGCCAATCGACGGTCAACTGCTGGCGCACTGACGTAATTTTTCTAATGTTACAGCATCCGATTCATCATCGCATTGAAAATTAAGTTAGATATTACATCGCATTACTACTATTTTGGTTATCAAATTTGGTTTATCAAATTAATTGTTAACTTGAACATAAAGATTTGATTTTTATAACTAAGATGAATATTGGATACGATAGCTGGTTATCATCAATTTAACATATATTTATATATAAACATATTTGTTACTTATGTTTTTTACTTACTCTAAATAAGTAACATGATTGATATATTGATTAACCGCAATTTAGTATAAAATTTCAAAATTGCATTAGATTATCTATTTGTTATGATTTTGATAAGTTATATAATTATTATTCCAGCAAATAGAACAAATAAAAGTTTCTGTTATAATCAAAATAAAATATTTCTATAAATTTCTACATATTAATTTATGTATCATTATTATTTATACATTTATATAATATATTATATATTTTAATAAAGTAATATATTGTGTATATTGCAATATAACATAAGATATATTATTTTTATATGTTTTGAATACTTCTAAAGTTCAACTGTGTCCTTTTATAGATTACTTTAAAATTTGAAACTAACACGACCGGTTTGCTTCCATAATTATAGGGTGCAGGTTCTCTCTGGGTACAATTTTCAACCAGAAACCCCCTTCAATCTGCAGTGAGAATACGCTGAATTTCTGAAATTTTCCAGATGTCGAAGTCTTCTCGCACGGCATTAACTCGCAACGAGCCAAAAGATGAAATAACAAAGTTCTCGTCTCCAGTAACGCGAATCTATTACCGATGCACATTCTCGGACCTAATCCAAATGGATGATAAGCGTTAAAATTACACTGATCTCCTTCATCGAGGAATCTCTCAGGTTTGAATTTCTCCGGTTCTGGAAAGTATTTAGGATCGCGTTGAAGCGAATAAAATGGGAGCCAGAGTATCATTCCTTCTTTCATAAGATACGGTTTTGCATCTGGTAGTGCAGGAGGCAACTCGAAATCTTTCACACATACTCTATCCGTCAGTGGTGTCACTGGATATTTCCTTAGAGTTTCATTGATAACAGCATTCAGATACTTCATTCCGTTAATCGCCTCGTAAGATGGTTGGCCATTCGTATCTTCCCAAACCTTATCGATCTCATTTTGTAGCTTCTCTTGGATATCTGGATTGACGGCAATTTCGTGTGCCGCAAAACTCATTAGTGCTGAACTAGTATCGAAACCAGCGAGAAAAAAAATGAATGCCTGCGATGTCATATCCAAAATGGTCAGTTCTCTCCCGGGTTCTCTTTTACTTCTGCTATCCATTAACAGCTGAATCATGTCTGGGCGAGTAATACCTTTCTCCTCTCTGATTTTGATCGTGTCAGCTACCAGATTAACAAAAAATGCAGTAATGCGATCATCTATTAATTTAAGATCGAATAGACGTACGAACCACGGCATATTTTGATGCAGTACAATTTTTAAAATTGAAATTATGTTGATATGTGCTGCCTTTTTGCCGAAAATACGAAAATCATTCTCCGGGTTTCTCATCGAGTCCACATTAATACCAAAGGCACATGTGGCGATCACATCGTTAGTGTATCTCGAGAATATGTCTTTCACTTCCATAACGCGTTTGTCTAATGATATATTCATTAAATACTCCGAATAATTCATAGCGCAATCGGATATTAAATGAAACATTGTCTTCATTTTACTAGCTGTAAAAGCAGGACTCAGAAGCACTCTCATGTCACGCCACTCGTCGCCGCGAAGAGAAAATAGATTTGTTCCAAAAAGTGGATCTTGAATCTTAGTGCCGAACAAAAGGTGATCTTGAAACGAGTCGAAATTTTTGATTGCGATAGACTTGATCAATTCAGGATCACGGATCATTACAACCGGACTTGTGAAATCAAAAATACCAGTGTACTTAGCATCGGAATGCACATTGTACACTTCTTCAATGAAGTCAGCCAAGCTTTGTGGATGCACTAAAATTTTCCAAATTCTTTCTAAAAAGGAATGTCTTTTTGCATGTGGAATTCCATGTTGTCGGAATACGTTCGATTTCTTACGGGAGGCGTAGTAATAAATGGCAAGTATGCCGACTAATAATGATAAGACTATCGTCCAGTAGTCCATGATGTTTAATCGGAGTACTTGCAGATTACTCCTTTCGTTCGAGATAAAGTTAAACACCAGTGTCGTGAAAGTTTGTGTCAATATCACTGTTCGCAGTTGTGTGAGGTATCCTCAGGTTATAATCCAGTGCAATATGTTGAACGTAATTGTTTTATCATGTCAAACTGACCTGCTCGCTTGGAATTCTCGCACACGACTGCCTATATCCGATATAAAGTTGTTTGTTAAATGACTCATAACTTGACGTTATTGAAGAGAATTACGTGAGAGGGATCAGAGAGCAAGAGAGAGAGAGAGAGAGAGAGAGAGAGAGAGAGAAACAGAGAAAAAGAAAGAGAAAAATAATACTTTGATCATTTATAGAGATCTGTTGTGTGTAAATAAAAAAGTGCATTATGTATAGGTAATAAGAAACTTATTACAAAATGTAGTACAGATGTGTTACAGATTATTGCATGTTTACATTTTTTTGAAAGCACCCTATATTTTCAGCGAGAAAAAAAATGAATGCCTGCGATGTCATATCCAAAATGGTCAGTTCTCTCCCGGGTTCTCTTTTACTTTTGGTATCCATTAACAGTTGATTCATATTTGAGCGAGTAATGCCGTTCTCTTCTTTGATTTTGATAGTGTCAGCTACCAGATTTACAAAAAATGCAGTAGTTTTATCATTTATTAATTTAAGATTGAACAGACGTATAAATGACATATTTCGATACAGTAATAAAATTTTTATAATTGGAATTAATTATACCGAAATTTGCTGCCTTTTTGCCGAAAATACGAAAATCATTCTCCGGATTTTTCATCGAATGCACGTTATAGATTAAAATTGTTAGATTTTATATTTTAACTAAGTAAAGTCAGGTCAAAAAAGAAACGGTCAATAAATCGAGCAAAAAAGGATCTTAGAATTTAAAGCTTTAATACATAAAGTAAGGACACGGAACGTTTCGACTCTATATTTGGTCTTTTTCAACTGCATAAAAGTTACATACAAATAAAATAATTAAATTAAGAAACCATTAAAAAAAACACTTCATCGAAAAAGATAAAAATTAAATAAAAGTTAATAAATACGTTGGACAGAAACATTATAAAAAAGTAGGATTTCATGACATAAAATGCAATATTTGTCATCGTGACTGTCGCAATATTAGAGATATAAAAGTACATTTATATCGTGCTCATCAATTATTTCATGACAAAAAAAATTACTGAAGCAATTTGATATGGAGATATTTTACAGAAAACGTATGATACATTGCAATATTATGTAAAATTTGTGATAATTGTGATAGAACGTATGCCGGTATCGCGACATTTTGCATTGGACACATCATCGCGACATTATATAAAATGAAAAAAATAAAAATAAAAAATAAAATGTTTAAGTGTTCTATGTTTAGAATAGATTTCTTAGCCAACCACTTGTTCAAGCATGAGATAAATGAAAAATCTCAAGAAAGTAGTGGAGGGAATGACATCAATATAAAAATAAATCAAGCAGTAGTTGAAGAAAATAACATTTCATCAGTTGAAGTAAGTACATCTCATCAGATTGACGTATATTCGCATTTCAATTCTTTTTTCAAATTTTTAATTATACAATAAAGAAATAAAACATATTCGATATTTGATTTCGAAAAAATTTAGATTAACAAATAGAGTTTTGTTAATATAGATTTGTTGGGATAGACATAGAAATAAGTGGAATAAGTACATCTGACCATAATTTATTACTAATCTTTATTTATTGTTCTTTCTGGATGTGTAACCATATGTAAGAAATAAATAATATTAAATAATATATTCTAAACCATCTTATCCTACACACTTCTTGGAATGCAACTTTAAAGATAATAATCTTGCATACGCGTAGTAAGCAGCTGAAAATGGAGCAGTCATGTATTGTTAGATTTTGTACTCTATAATGTGTAATCGAGAGATATCTTGTTGATTTTTGAGAAATGAGGAAAGTAAAACGTACAATGTAAATGTGTATGCGTCCTAGAATTCTGTTTGATAGAATAATATTATTACTTTCTCTCTCAATTTCGTGATTATCATTAACATTTGATGAAATGGAAATCACAGAACAACTGCTATGTTATAGTTATTTAAGTCATATAAATTATTACGGCAAACTGGCGGCTTCCTCTATGGACCTGCACAAATGAATAAAATACAAAAAGAATGTAATTTTATAATTTATAATATATAATAAAACATATATGTACGTCTTTTCGAGACATTAAGATTACAGTACGTAGGAAGCAATTTACTTACTTATCAATAATCTTACTAGTATTATTTGAAGAACCTTGTACAGCTATGTCTAAAACAGCTTTTTGTCCTGTAAAATAAAACGTTTTTCAATATAAAATTAAAGAACATCAAACTGAGGGTTTAAAAAAATAAAAATAGGATTTTAATACATTTAAACATATGTATATATCTATTTTATGTATGTACAGGATGTCCCGAAATTCGCGAATCAAAATATCATGTAAGAAAGTCTTCAAAAAATTAAGTAAAAAAGTAATTTGTAAATTTTTATTTTAAGCAATAGTTTTTGAGATATAAGGGTTTAAATTTAGTCAATTATAGATAAATACTCGTGTGAAATGAATGATACCTAACACTATCGATGCGCTCACGGACATGTTTCCGTTTAATCGTAATCTATAATTGGCTAAATTTAAACTCTTATACCTCAAAAACTACTGCTTAAATTAAAAATTTACAAATTACTTTTTAACTTAACTTTTCGAAGATTTTCTTGCTATAATATTTTAATTCGCGAATTTCGGGTATATATATACCCTGTGTGTGTTTGTGTGTGTGTAATATATGTATAAATTTTACAAAAATTCAACAATTTTTATTTTATAATAATTACCGTGAGTGTGCTGATATAATGCTGGTGACCAGCTGTAACTGTTAGGACTAGGAATACTGTCTACTGTTATAGCAGTGTTTGTAGGTGATGATGTACTCTCTTGCGCCATTGAGAGTGCGACGGAACTTCCACTGGTAGTGCAAGCGTTATTCTTTGTGTCGGACAAAGCGTTTTTCCTATACATGAAACATAAAATAAATTAAATCTGTCGATTAAAACTGTCGGTAAGGCAAAACAAAGCTAATAAGTGCGGAGATGGATTCTTTTATTTCTGACTTACATTTATAATATTCCATTTTTATTATTCTAATCTTGATGACTAATTCATTTAAATCTTACCTGGATTTTGCACCACATGTGGTTGCATCTTTCTGCGAGCCCGGCGACAATTGAATACCTTCGAATAATTGTTCGAACTCGAATATCTTGCTATTATCACTTATTAAATTCAAGCTAGTAGACGAGCTCGGGGATGATTGGCGCCGAGACAATAAATGCTTTGACATGATTTTATTACTGTCTAGGAGCACTGAACAAACAATATATTGAACAATTTATTATTGAAATATGTTATTGCTGTTTCTTTTGTAATTTTGTTAATTTTTTTTAAATCATAAATTAAGCAGCACAGTCCATAACAATATAAAACAATCTCTCTGTTACTTTTACACTCAAGATTAAATCATTCGTTGCAGAGGCTATTATAAATATATTATATCACATTTAAGTTCTTTAAAATCTATTAAAAAACAGCACATTTACAAATAATACCTTTGCGAATGTGAGAACAACGTAAATTATGCAATAACAATATAACAATATAACAATCTCATTGTTACTTTTACACCCAAAATTAAATCATTTGCTGCAGAAGCTATTATATACAGATATATTATATCACATTTAAGTTCGTTAAAATCTATTTAAAAATAGCACATTTACAAATAATATATTTGCGAATGTGAGAACAACGTAAATTATGCAAAATCAACTACTACTTTTATTTACTACTGATTCAATATTATTTTCTTTAATATCTTTTACTCACCGTTTGGCACTATGAGATCTAGACGCAATCTAGACGATTCCACGTCATGATTGACTTTATTAGCTAGTGGCAGCTTCGGGATATCGTTTTCGCAGTCTATCGAATTGGAACGCGTCGCTGGTTCGGATCTGGTTATTTGACTGCCGGAAGCCATCGTCACGGCTAGATCCGACTGGCAGATGCTCGGCAATCGGCTCAATTTGGCCTTAGCGCCGCAAAGCATTTGCGGTTGGGAATGGAAGGCGCAATTAGGATGCTTGTTGTCGGTGCTTAAATTTAAATCATTGCAAACGGCAGTGTCGAGCTCAGGGTGCTTGTGCGAGTACACCGCAGTTGCGGCGGATTGCGCCGGAGCGTTGCAGTGCAACGGACTGGAACTGTGACGTCGTAGATTCGCGAGCGTGCCCCTAGAATCGCAGTTCCCGTCCGCTTGTTGACTAAGACATAATGAGTTCCACGTCGCGTTCCTGTCCTGCATCTCGAACAATTGCAGCAGCATTATTTGCCTCAACCTTTAAACCATAAGAAATTCTATTATTTATTATCGAATCACCAATCATCTTGTTTTACTTAATGCATAACATTCTCCGCTCAAATTTTGTGTACTTTATCTTAATTATTAAGTCATTGATTACATCGTTTTACATAATGTGTAACACTCTATTCAAATTTTATGTACTTTGACTTAATTATTGTAGTTGTTAATTTTGTTAGCTTATATAAGAGTTTATTTCTCTTGTCTACATAAATGAATTAAATTTGATAAAAGATAAATTTTTCACATAAATTGTAGCATCTGCCTTCTTAATACTTAATGCCCTATTTTATTTTTTATAGTAGTATAAGAAATTAGAATTTTATCAAGATTTATTTCTCTATTAAATTGAGAGATGAAATTTTGTTCTTGCAATAGACTAAAGATATAAATTTATATAAAGTCAATCTACTTTTTGTATAATTCCATTTAAATAATTATTTTCATAATATTTACAATGACTCGTATGTTCTTTTTACCTATTAGTTTAATATTACAATGTAGCAGTAAACATACCTGCAAGCATCGGCATCCCTATTATTTTGTTGTTTTGTACGCTGTTTATTTTGAACCCAAGAGGCAAGAGATTCCGCCACTTCAACGTCATTCTCTCCTAAAAATATTCTCATTTATTACTATTGCAAATAGATTTATGCTAATTAATCATATTTATTTTATACTTTTTCATTTATTACATCTTTTTTATCAGAATTGTTTTAAACGTATGTTTAATGTATATTAACCTGTTACATTTATTAAGTTTATATTTATTAGAAACAAAGAATTTATAATAATAAGTAAACATGATTAGAATTTAATATTGATTGACAAGTAAGAGGTCTCCATTAGATAATTTTCATAAATACAAGTGTCTTTTCATGTACATAAAAATGTACATGACATTGGAACATTTAGAATAATTAAAATAGCTATATTAATTACAGAATAATTTTAACAATTAAAATATTTGTATTAAATATAGGATACATACATGCATTAGGATACAGTTAAATACAGACTAATTTAAACTGCGAATTAAATCAGATTTGGGATAAGAATAAAGATAGAATCCTACGAGCTCGCATAAAAACTATTGGGAATGATGGACGTAGGGATTTCTTTCACACATTCTTGATCTTGTCGTTGATTCGTGGATTTTTCGCTTTCGACATCTCTATCGACTGTGCACAATTGTGGTTCTTGCTCATCTCTAGATGAATCTCTATTCGAGCTAGGACCTAATTTTGCAATATACCATTTAACATCCCGAACATCTTTTGTAGCTTTCGTTAATTATTGAGATTTATACAGTCGCATATTATTTTAGTTAGTTGACAATTAATCTTTGATCTTAAAATCCTTGTTATTTAATGCCTTTCTTGTAAATATACTTATAACAATATAAACGTTATTAAGACGTTTATATTGGTTGTAACGTTATATCTTGTGTGTGTAGCTTGCATACCTGACATCGTCTCGTCGTCCACATCGTTTTCATCATTCGTCAAATCCAAAAGCGTGATGTTAGGCTCGTTGTGCTCGCATTCGTCCATGTAAATGTCGTGCTCGCTCAATTCCTACAACGGGCGTAATGAACAAAAAGAATTATTCCTAATGAAGTTGATATTAAAAAACTGAAAGTAGGAAAAATAGAGAAAACTATACTTACGCCACTGTCGCTGCTGCTGCTGCTGCTACTGGACGAGAGATTTAAACCGGTCGGAGACAAGTAGAACGATGGGGAGTGGACACCGGTGTTGGCAGTCTGGCACTCTCCCGGCGATGCATCATTGGTGCAACGTTGCGCGGCTTCGCTTTCCACAACGTTTGAGCCGTTAACTCGATGCGCGTTGCTCGTCATCGACGTTAATACCGATGAAGACAGCAGGGGATCGCTGGCGCTATTATTGGACAACAGATTCAGCGACTGATGACCGAGTACGTTAGGCGACGAATAGGGTGACGACGAGGAAGCCAAGTGAATTCCCGCGGCTTGGCAATCCCTTAGAGACATGTCGTTGGCGCGACGTGGCGATGACGTGCCCTCGGTCTCGATAACGTTCAGATTGCTGTTGGGACGATGCGCTTTCAACGGTGTCTTCGATGACAGGATCGACGTAGAGCTGAGGGTATGCATACCCGTGAGCTCGCTCAGCTCGCACATCGGCATCAGTTGATCGCTTGGTATCGTCGAGTTGCCATTACTAGGAAGCGTACTTGGTATCGATCTGTCGCAGAAAATTTACTTTATTTATTATAGAATGTCTAGTTGCGCTCAAAATTCTTTTATTGAAAGTCGAAAATGACGAAGCTTTTTAGTTAAAATTATATGTAAGGTTCGATGTTTTACTTTGATTAAGTAGAATTTGTATCGATACCTCACTGGTGTTCCATTCGAAGTGGGATACGTATCAATTGTTCGTGTAGTATTTGAATTGGTCATTGAGTCGCCTACATCTTGTTGTTGCTGCTGCTGTTGCTGCGTAGATAACGACGATGCATTTACAGTTGCTCCGCATATCGTTCCACTAGTTCCATTAGTAGCTCTGGTAGCCGCCATGGCATTGCGAGAAATTTCTATCGCTAGTCTCTGTATATATAAAAAAAAGTATTTCTTTAACGTAAAATATTTCTACAGTATTCTAAAAAAAAAATGCATACATAATTCAATAAATATTGAATTTTATTCTATACATATAGATAATTCAATAAGTATTGAATTATGTATAAAGAATACAAATGTACGTGCAAAATACTAGAATTAGCTTTTCTTAATTATAAATTTATGATGGATTTATATAGATTTATAATTGTAATATAGATTTTATATTTTAAACAATTTACCTCCTTTAATTCATTAATTTGAGTGATGTATTGATTTTGAACTGTCAATAATTGGCTAATGTACCACTGTTGATCTCTACAGCGTTGATAAAATGTTGGTGGTCGTACTTGGAATCTGTCAATTTTAGAATAAATTATAATTTAATTATAATTTAATTATAATTTAATATTAAATATTAAGTAATTTTTTGTCTTATAATTCAATATTATGTTGCTAATGATTGTAATTTTAATCTATACAAAAAATACAATGTGTATAAAAAGTTTCGCATGTAAAATAAATATCAAAAAAAAAATTTTAAATATATTTTAAGTAAATTCAGCTTTGTGAAAAGAATCTACCTCAATATGAGAGTATCCAATTCTGTATTTAAGTAACCTTCCGTCGCGAGTAAGTCTAACCGAAAGAATCTGTTGTATCCCCAACATTCGCCAATTTCAAAGTCGGATGCAAATTCACGAACGATATTTTTACTCGTATCACGCGAACCTTGATGAATCATTTCAACTCTGTACTCGTATCTATGAAAAACAACACACAGAATATAACAAATATTATCTTGTTTCATATTTTTACATACATAATTTATAATTTTCAATTCAAGGAATGTACAAATCATTACTTATGAATTTACGTACTTCGAAGTCTCTGGCAATCCAGCGCTGAGTTCTAAAAATACTGACAAATAATTTCCGCGTACAACTCCATTGCCATCCGGATATACTTTCAATCGCCAGCACAGTCCGTTCACGTGTAATGGCGCAGAATACACTGGGTCAGCTTTCAGTTGAAGCTGAGTAAAATTTTGCATGGCAAATGTCGCGCTGTCGTAACCTGGTACAATTTCACTGGAATAAAATGACTCACATGAAATTTAATACAATAAAATCCTTAATTATTTTATTTATGTAAGAAATTTTATATATACAAATATATATATACATGTGTGTGTGACATTTTTATATTAAATTTTAGAAATCTTACCTATGAAAGTCGGCTGGTACTGGCGCAGTGACGAAACTCGTCATTGGCTTTTTACGAACCTGATGTATCTTGCGAGAAAGCTCGGCGCTCTTAACAATCAACTCAGAACGCGTACAGGTATGCAATTGATATTCCACCTCTTGTAACAGAGCTTCTAACTGCTCGGTTTCCAAAGTCAACGAATTCTTCTGGCCCATCAGGGTCAGCAGTTTGGCTTTCAACTGAGAATCCAGACGAGCTATCATTAATTCTATCGCGTTTCTGATCTCCCTGACTCTCTCGTCCTTCGCAGCTCTCACTGATTCAACGTTTCTCTCCTAATAACAGACAAGCGTAATAAAATTACAAAATTATAGCACATTAAATATGTCTGTATATTTTAAATTTTCTTCCATTTTTTTGTAGAATTTAAAGTTTATCAAACATAACATACCACTTCTTGAACGAGGCTGATCAATTCCATGAGTCGTCTATTCAATTGACCTACTTCCGCTTTTATCTGAGAAACATGTTGATCATAAACATCTTCTAAAGGTTTAAAGGTATGGCCCGAGTGGGTGCCTCCCCAAAGGGCGCACTGATGACAAATACACTTGCGGCAGGTCCAGCAGTATACAGATAATTTTTCCTGATGCGTTGCACATCTGTAACATTATTTAAAATAAACACTTAAGCATTACAAATAAATGTTACAAATCGCAAAAAAATAAATGCTTTGAATAAATAAATAATAGGGAATGAAAGATTTAATTATTAATAAAATTCGAATTTCAAAATTTATAATATATATGTCTCTATAAATATCTAGAATACTATTTCACACCTGTCTCTGCTAGAATCGTCGTGCCGAAAGTTAGATATGCAAACAGCTTGCAGTGTATCAAGCTGCTGGGTCACTTCCTCGACCCAACGGCAATTTACTAATTCGTGCAAGTGAAGAGAAGCGCGGCAGTGAGGACACTGAGAGCGCTGTTCGGTGAGCCATCTTCTAATACAGGTATAGCAACACAATTTGCTGCAGTGAGGGCAGAGATGTGCATCTCTCAGCTTTTCCATACAAATGAAACATCGGAAAACTTCTGCCAACGTCTGCAATAAAAAATAGAATGGACTATTTAATTATCTAATCACATACTCTAATCACATACTGTAAAATGCAGTTGTAATATTATAATTCTTAAACAACAATTAATCAGTCTAATACACAAAAATAAAATATTTCTTTTATATGGTATGCAATAAAATAACTATTAGTTTTAAATTATATTATATAATATTACTGTCATTAATATGTACTTTAGAATTTTCAAATTTAAATTCTACAAGATGAAAAATGTCATGTTGCATTAGGATATAAATAATAAATAATTATTAATATCATCTCGCGTTAAGAAAAATTTCAAAAAAACATTGAATTTATAAAAGCAAAAAAATACTAATCCAAAATAATAAAATATGTTCGAAATAAGAGATCCCAATGAGATTTTGTGGCAAAAATATCATAAATTTCCGGAGTTAAAAAAAGATATTAAGAGCGGTCGCTACGCTTTACGCAATAACAACAGATCCGTCTGTTCTTTCCGGCTGTGCCCTCTCGTCACGCTGTTTGCATTCGAAATGGAACAAGGGCGCAGCTTAGAACGAAAAACGGATCCCGACTGCCAGCCGACCACGACGCTAACCTCGACGCTGTGGTCGTCCGCGATTTTGGCGGAGACCGACGGGTCCCGGCTGGCCATCCTCTTGACGTCGAAGCACGCCGCAACACACGCCGAGCGATGACGCGCGACCGTTATCGAATATCGATCACCTCACCGCGACGCGTGCCGTCCGCGATGCACATGTCCCAGAATCTGGATCACCGCGGCTCGTTCGGTTCAACGGCGACGGTCGTACGAGGCATCGCGCACGATCCGCGGGGCTCACGCGGGCTCCTCGCCGCGACGGTACGGGCCACGCGAACGGAAAGACGGGGATGGACGTACGCGTGTTTTTCGTTGACTCGTATGAAATTTTTTAGGATGCGAAAACCGTTAGTCTACGCTCCGTAAACAGTGTGTGTGACAGGACGACGGCCGACGGGCCACCGAACATACGGAGCCATGGTGTAAGAATACATACATAATTCTTACACCATGTACGGAGCCAGGCGTTCCGAAGAACGGGCACATTTGCCTGCCTGCGCGCGCATGACTGCTACCGCTGGTCTTTAAATTATTTGTATCGACACTACCGGTCTGTTCTTTGTAGCTGCTGCACATATGTTATATTTCTTCTATAATGGAATAGTATGAATAAATACAAAATATATTTTATATATTATTTAATATATATGACACGCACGAAGATTTGATCAACGCGCAGTAAGACGACGACGACGACGACAACTTGGACGACGATGAAGATGTGATTAATTTCAAGAGACTGATGAACGCGCAGCCATTGTGGGTCTTACCTCTTTATTCCCTTCTATCCGGACACAAACAAGCCAGAATAAATATACAGTATAATAAATTAATTGTGATCCTTTTGACGTTAATCTCTGTAATAAAATTAATCAAAAGGATAGACCTGTTTCACGTGGACACACGAATTTTTCGGCTTACAGATTAATATGGAAAACGAAGGATTTCAAAATGTACAAATGCACGATTGTCTAAAACGTATCGTTATCAACTTATATTTAAAACAAAAATTAAATAACTTGGAAGTGGGACTGTAAGTATGAATGAAAATAATAGTTTATTTTAAAGTTGCTACATCTCGACACTCATCAACCACTCGAAGCAGGAAAGTAATCAAATGTAAACAATTGAAGTTTAATTTAGAAAATTTGACTAAGATTATCATTGACATCTTCGTAAAGATCATGTAGCGGACCTTGAGGAGCTGGAGCTGGAGCTGGAGCTGGAGCTGGAGCTGCCATGTGCCTGTAAAGACAAAGTGGTTTGTTATTATAGTGAAACACAATAGTTTGAACTAAGAAATAAGAATACTTACGCTGGATTTAAGTATAACGTTCTGAAAAAATCTGCAAATATAGTTGCTACCGTGCCTTGTACATCGTACAACTGAGGTCTTGCGTCTAAACCAATGCCACTGAAAAAATCCGTTAAAAATTTAATGGTTAATAAATATTTTACGCGCGTAAAAATGAACAATTATTATCTCACTCATACTTACATTACGTGATCTAACAAAAGTAGTTCTCTTTTTAATTTCATATAATGTTCATAGGTACGTCTGGTATATTGGTCAATTACTTGCTCGTTTGGTAAACCGAAAAATTCGTGTATAGCTGGAGCTGCACCTCCCATGTTCCTGTAAAGACAAAGTGGTTTGTTATTATAGTGAAACACAATAGTTCCAACTAAGAAATAAGAATACTTACGCCATCATGTTTGTTTGCATTTGGACAAGATCTTTAAACATAGCTATTAACCTGAGTTGTACAGAGCACATGTGAAGTACTGGGTCTGAACCGTGCCCACTGAAAAAATTCGTTAAAAATTTAATGGTTAATAAATATTTTACGCGCGTAAAAATGAACAATTATTATCTCACTCATACTTACATTGCCTTGTCTAAATCAGCTACTTCTCGTTTTAAATATACTGAATTTTTATAGGCACGTTTGAAATATTCGTTTAATTGCACGTTTAAAAGTATTTCATCCTTCGTTTTAATCTGTATTATTTGCATTTGGACAAAATCTTCAAACATAGCTGTTATCCTGCGTTGTACAGAGCACATGTGAAGTCTTGGGTCTGAACCCCAACTGAAAAAATTCGTTAAAAATTTAATGGTTAAAAAATATTTTACGCGCGTAAAAATGAACAATTATTATCTCACTGATCATACTTACATTGCCATGTCTAAATCATATACTTCTCGTTTTAAATATACTGAATTTTTATAGGCACGTCTGAAATATTCGTTTATTTGCACGTTTAAAAGTATTTCATCCTCCGTTTTAATCTGTAAGCCAAAAAATTCGTGTATATAAATATATAAAAAGAGATCGCCTATGCGCAGGACAAGCGTATGGCTTAGTTTACACCGAGCACTTGATACGCGTACTAAGTACCAAATCGGTATCAAGTACTTAGTCAGCAATCTGATACTAGTATCAATTAATTTAACAGTACTAAATGTAAACTAGGCATATGGCACGCGAAGAAGAACATACAACGATTATGTAGCGCGATCCGAACTCGAAAACATCTAAAGAGAATCGTAATACAGCGAACCTAAGTGTCGGTCCACAATAAGGATTTTAAGCCTTAAGCCGTAAGAAATAAACCAATCGTAGTCGAATATGAGAAGAATAATCGATTGTAATTGGTCAATATCTTACGGCGTAAGGCTTTAAGTTCTTATTGTGGACCGACACTAAC